ATTGTTCTTTCTGATGACATCAATACGTATTAAACACGATGTGTTACACATCCTTTTATCAATATCTGAGATGATAAATTTACAAATTAATACTACACCAGCCATAACTGCATAAAATTACAATAGCACCCTCTTTGGAAAAGATTTTGATTTATATAATGGTAGTAACTTTTAGGTGTTTAATGTTTCTGAAATTAAAGGAGATGAGCCACTGTGAGCAAGCAGAACACAACGTACAAGAAATAATGACGCTTGTGACCTTATGCCCTGTAAGGTCACCCTGAAACACAGGCCAAAGGAAATCAGGAAGCATCAGCATTTACCTCCAAGTAGTCACTGCCCGGAATGAAGGGCAAGTGTGGGTGTATTTCATAAACTAGCAGGTGCTTGACCTCATTAAAAAAAAAAAAAAAAGTCAATTATCAAAACACTACATGTAGAATGTCACAAATAAGAAAACTATAAAATTGGGTTCTGCAAAATATCTTCCCTTCAAAATAAATCTGAGACAACTCATAACATTTTACCTTCACCTGCATCATAATACAACAGTTTCACAAAATAACAGTAATCCGTCCTTAGTAAGAACAATCAGTAAAATGTTTTAAAAGTGTTCTGGAACTTAAAAGTGGTTACGAATACATGCTGAAGAGTGATAACTCAGAAAATATTTACAATATTTATTTAAGTCACTATCACAAGAATGTATGCAGCATTTAGAATTCTGATCCTGTAACCAGAATAAGAATCACAGTGCACTCATCCCCAAATTTCCAATCAGAAATTAGGCATCAAACGTTTACATCCTGGGGCTTCCCTGGTGGCGCAGTGGTTGAGAGTCTGCCTGCTAATGCAGGGGACACGGGTTCGAGCCCTGGTCTGGGAGGATCCTACATGCCACGGAGCAACTAGGCCCGTGAGCCACAACTACTGAGCCTGCGCGTCTGGAGCCTGTGCTCCGCAACAAGGGAGGCCGCGATAGTGAGAGGCCCGCGCACCGTGATGAAGAGTGGCCCCCAATTGCCACAACTAGAGAAAGCCCTCACACAGAAACGAAGACCCAACACAGCCAAAATAAATAAATAAATCAAAAAAAAAAGTTTACATCCTGGGACTTCCCTGGTGGCGCAGTGGTTAAGAATCCGCCTTCCAACGCAGGGGACGTGGGTTCGATCCCTGGTCAGGGAACTAGATCCCACACACATGCCGCAACTAAGAGTTCACATGCCACAACGAAGGTTAAGTGGTTAAGAATCCGCCTTCCAACGCAGGGGACGTGGGTTTGATCCCTGGTCAGGGAACTAGGTCCCACACACATGTCGCAACTAAGAGTTCACGTGCCACAACTAAGGCGTCCGCGAGCCGCAATTACAGAGCACACATGCCGCAACTAAGGGAGCCGGTGAGCCACAACTAAGGAGCCCGCCTGCTGCAACTAAGGCCTGGTGCAACCAAAGTAAATAAATTGAAGAGAAAAAGTGTACATCCTGTCTGCATTTGTAAGGGATAAAATGTTCCCTAACAGGTTCAAGGACAGAGCTTCATTATCGGAAGCAAAATTCTCATATCACTCAATTAGGACTTGGCTTTTATAAAAATTTGTGAACTGGATTTTCAGTTAAGGCAGAGTATTGCTCCTTTTTCCTCCCCAGTGATTGTTGGTTTACTGCCAGAATCCCTGGGCAATATAAATTAGAGTGAATTCTGAGGTGGTGACAATAAGGAGAACAAAACTATAGAAACCAATACAGGAAAGAGAAGTGGACTGCCAACCAGCATTCACTACGTGTATCATGTACTGTGCTGTATGCTTTACAAAAAGCTTCCCCTCCAATGGTCTCAACAGTCCTAAGAAAAGCAACTGGTTTCTGACCCACTGCTTTCCTTAGGCTCTCAGACAAACCTACAAAAGGCTGTTACTGCATCATATACCTAAATAAAATTCCAGAAGATCCCAGTCAGTAACGCCCAGTTGATCTGAATTGTCATCTTAGTCCCAGCTCAATCACCTACTGAGTGTGAAGTCAGAGCAAGTTCCTACCCACTTTAGTTACTACCTCCAGACGCCAGGTCTCTAAGAGGAAGGGCTATCACAGTCCATCAGCCCAGGATGACCTTCCGCTCTTCAGGTAAAAGCAGTTTCTGAGTTTCAGACAAACATCTAACAAAGGGACTCTTAGACCAAGCTCGGTCATAACTTAGGAGCTGTCCATATTGCTTAGGCAATTAATGCATATTTTTTAATGCTCGGATGATTAAATTATAAGAAAATATCTGATGTACGGTGTATTTACCAGACGTATTGCTTAATATTTTACCTACTTCAGTGATTAAAAGGATTTCTGTGCTAGAAAGAGGCGTTCAGTCTCTAAAGAACGCTTTACGCTGCCACTTGCCACAGCAATCACTTCCTCAAACATAAATGGCCGTGGTAGAGCGATTTCGCTACAAGCAGGTTGATGGCAGGCGTGGGCTGTCCACCAGCTGGCTCCAGAACCTTTTGATCCCTTTGGACAGCAAATCTGTCCAACAGCCCTATATGGTCATTCCTTATTTTTTGTATGCTTTCTTCTCCTTTCACACATTCAGAATCCCTACTCCTTTAGCTTGACAGCCTTTTATTAAAATAGAAAGCTCTCAGTAAAGCAAACTAAGACTAATTTTACACTCCGTCAATGTAAAAGTTCCAGAATAGACTAACATATTATAGCAGGGGTTGTTAGTATGAGGTGTTTTAGTTACATGCAGAATGCCTATTTGTTTATTCTTTCACTAAAAATACAATTTTATAGTAAGTGATAAGATTAAAGTTTTAAGTGAGCCAGCCTTCTGTTAATTTATAAAGTACTCCTAGATACTGTTGCTAAATACCAAGAACTTTAATTTACGTAAATGGAAAGGTTTAAATTTGACATAAGAACAACCTAGTTTGTGCTTGTTTAAACAGTGATGAAAAAACCACTCTCTTCTTTCCAGGAAAAATAAAATAAAATGGCATCCACCACCATTGCTAATGGCGCCTCTCTCCCAAACTGTCAAAAATACAACACTGTACTAACCTCTCATGTTTTCCTTAGACCTTTATATGCAATCTGTAATTTAGGCTTAGAATTGTCTTTTATTCTTCCCCTATCTACATTTTGGTCTGGTCCCATGTCCCACCTTCTGTAACAGCCTCCCATCTACTCATTCTTCTTTAATCAATCTTCCACTCTACACTAGTCCATTCTAAATAAAGCTGTCTTGAAAATGTTTCTCCATATTTCCTAATTTCCATAGTGTTCTCCTCTTAAAAGAATCTCTAGCAATTTGCTATTTAGTTTCATCCTCAGTCTACTTTACAGTACTATACTCATAGTTTGTCCTTAAATTTGAGCATCTTATATTCAATAAGGTTTATGATGAGCTGATGAGTTAATTCTATTTTCTCGAATACTATGAAGTTTATAGCCACAAGATACTGAACAAAGAGCACCAGCCAGACTATCCAAATACTCAAAAGGAGAGATTTTTCATCCCAATTTTTTTTTTTATATTCTACAAAATTTTAAACCTATACATACTTAAATAAGAACTTTAGGCCAAATACCTTACATAGAGTCCATATGTCTAAAGACCCTGGGATTTTTAACTTAATTTCCTTTTATTAAAATAGAAAAGTTCCCAGTAAGCAAATAAAAACCAATACTCTCTCAATAAACAGTCCGTTACCTATTTAGGTTAAAGAATTTGTAACTAGAGTTGTTAATGTGTGATGTTTTGGTTATATGTGAAATATATATTTGCATTTTTATAGATTATAAATGTGTTTATTTAACAAATATATAGAGCTTGCGACTGCTTAGGTACTGTTCCGTGTGCTTAACAAAGATTCACTCACTACATACTCAAAATAATCCTATAAAGTCCTACTATATCATCTTCATTTCATCTGTGACAAAACTGAGGCTGAAGAAAGGTTAAGTGTCCAAGGTCACATACGAAATTAAACAACCACTACAGTCACCACTGGCAAACACCTGGTAGACTTACACCAGTTATAACAATTATAACCCTTTTTGAATCTTATTTTCATTTTCTATCTTATACAATCATGTATTGTTTGTCTTGACATGTATAATGAGTATCTCATAAATGAGAATAACTGGTATTGACAAAAGGTCACTTAAAATGAATGCACCTATACCCAGGACAAATTTCCACAGTAAAAAAGTTTTTTTAAAGATTCACTGAGACTTTATCCTTTTAAAAAAGTGAAACTGATTTATCTTATACACAGTATAACAGGCTAAACTTTTAATTCTGAATTCTGCTTTAGAAGAATAAAGAACGAATTAAATGATGAGTTGGGAATGAAGCATACTTTTCCTAAAAAGAAAAAAATTATCACAGTGCACTGTAACTTTTCTTCAGTGTACTTTAGACCTAGCAGCATAATTGCAAAGGTTTTACTTTACAGAAGCTATTCCAGAATTGCAACAATTTTTCCCATGATCTTTCCCAGTCCATTGAAATTATACTCTTTTGAAAGATTCTTCAGTCAAAATCCTTGCTATTTTTCTCTTTTTCAACTGGTCTAAACCTACCAGATGATTCTTAAGGATTCACAATTCCAACTTCCACTTGGAATGATCTGCCTTGTATTTGTACTTACATATCAGATCAATATCTAAAAAGTTGGTACCCACAATCATAATAATGAAATAGGCAGAGACAGATGCTAGTGTTAACAGGGTAGAATTTTCAATTCAGGGTTAACTTTATAAGGGGTCAGTGAATTTGTGAATATTTAGATATTTATTTTACATAACTTTTTACAAAACCAAACTCCAAACCGTAAGGATTCAGAAAAGGAATGAGCAGAATTTGAGGATCCCCTGTTTTCACCTTAAGGTCAATGATTCACTTTTGGTAATAGGCAGTAGCAAGCGTAACTGCAAGTTTTGGTACTTTCCTACACATGCATGAAAAGCTTTGTAGAAAAGCATGAGAGCTCTTACGTGACATGACGTGGTCCATGTACTGAGGTAAGTACGGAGCCCAGGTATCAATGGCCTCCTTCCGTCCTGCCTGCTCTATTCTTCTCAGTTCTGCTAGAAGCAGGGCCTGTGCGGCTTCTCTGACCTAAGACCACAGAACCAAATGCAAAAAACGGAAGCAGACCAGTGAGTGAGGTGTTTAAACATGAGCAAGTTCATAATGAAAGAAAGCTAGAAAATATACAAACCACATTTATTTACATGAGAAATACTACTAACCAAACAATGAAGTAAGTACTAAAGTTGAATAAACTGGATGCAAGCAAATCAAAGACTTTCAGTTAATGATCTCACTTAAAAATACTTTAACACTAACAGAATAATGTTTGACCGTTTCATCAGTTTGGGGTTTAAAACTTCATTTTCCAAGGCTTGCACAAAAATATTCTTGTACTTTAATTTGGCGTTTTAAATTTTTTTAATTTCCATATAAATATTATTGTTAAAAAATCACTGTTAGAATTATTAAATGTTTTCTCTTTCAGCCTGAAGAAATTTAACCTTGTCTAGTGGATTTCTATCTATTATAATGCTAAATAGATATTGCTTACACAAACATATATGTATTAATCCACACAATTCATGTATACCTTGTTTGTTTTCAACAAACAAGCAAATATATTCCTATGAAATGGCATTAATTCTATAAAAGGAAACTATTTTTCAAAATTATATTATCTCAATTTTTCTTTCAACATGGCACACACTTTTATGTTGCAGTTTTAGTTCAGTTTTGTTTTATTTGGGCCAAAGTGCCACACCCATTGGTTCAAAGAAGCTAGACAACTGTCAAGGTATGTACCAATCAATTTATTGAGTATTTATAATTGAAGAGATAACTCGGTAGCACCTGATAAGAATTCAAATAAAAATTGTTTTTAACTATAACTAACTTTTGAAGTGAATTCAAACATTATTCAAATGCAAAACCATGAAAATTTCAGTATGCTGCAATTCCACTTGGAGCTGAGGGAAGGGACAGGATGCTATTTAAATTTGGTAAATTAAAACTTTTGAATGACATAAACTGCTATAGCTATACGGGTCAAATGCTATAATAAGCAAAATCTCCATAAAACATTTCCAAATCCCTGGTGATATTATATTGCAAGCAATATCTAATACCACACAAGTCCATTAACACAAAATAATAGCTACCATTTACTGAGCTCCTACCATGTGTCAGGCTCTGTACTTACTGTGCTACTTGCATTATCTTATTTGATCCTGACAGCAATCCTGTGAGGAATATATTATTATCCCCACTTTACAAATGAGCTTCAAATAGGTTAAGTACATCGCCTAGGGTCACAAAGTTAATAACTGGCAGACTGATTTTTAAACCCAGGTCTGTTCTAATTCCAAAGACCTTCCCCTTCTATTATAACACAGGACCTTCCACTGGACTATGGTTATTCACTTAGAATTTGATTGATGTGATTATACCTGAATGTGCAATCTGGGGGGGAGGTGGGCTGTATGTATGTGTGTGTGTATGTATGTGTATGATCTGTACAGAAATCAATACTTAAGAAACTGTTCCATAAGTATATAAAACTTTTGGTCAAATACTCACTAGATTAAAACAAAAGTTAACAAATATGCAAGTTGAAACATTACTGTTTAGAATCATTGGATCCGTATTTTCTATCACATAATAAACAGGTGATAAGAAGTTAGATAAAAATAACATTTCTGTTTCAAATTTACACTTGTCCAGTGCCTTTTTAATGTTTTTGTTTTCTATCCACATCACCTCGATATTACCTCCAAGCATCGATCTTGCCATCTCCGAGCCAGCATCTCTAGAAGCGGGGGCCTAAATTTGTCCAATCCCAGCAGGTCTGGCAGCATAACACAATGCATAGCAGCCAACTGACTCCATCCTGTTAAAATGTAATATATTATAAATGCTTTGGCATTCCCCCTAATTCCAATATTTTTCTGCATGTAGGTATACCAAACCTAAACCAAAAAGGGGAGATCTGCTCAATTATGTTATGATTTCAATTTATTATTAGGTATTTGGTACAAAGATAAAACAAATGTATTTCATTTCTAAATGTATTTCCTCTCGAATTTCAGCTCTAAGAACTCTAAAAGTTTTAAAAAAAATAAAAATAAATTTCCACATTAAGTATATACCAATTCCACAAGAAAAACACATTTCTAAACATTCCCTCTAAAATAAGACATATATTCAGGTTTAGAAAAGCACAGAAGTAAACACATACCAGAGCTCTAGATTTGAACCTACTGACAGTTAAAAGGGCACTCACACAGATATCCAAAGATAAGTTCATGTCACTTAAGGCCTGGCCATCTGGTATTACCTTCGTATCAGTCAACAGAGATGTTTTCTATTCTCTGTCAGAGGGCCTTTAATTAACGTACTTATTGATCCCTTTTCTTACAAAATGAATCAGAAGTTTAGTCACAATCATAACTTAAGTAAACTAACACCAAGTTTGAGAGGAAAAAATGAATTCCTACATTCCCCCAAATAAAAACAATCTAAAATTTATAAAATTTTAAGTATCATTAACTCTAATCTATGGGAACAAAAGTTGTTTTTTCCAAAATTCTATTCCACAATATGGAAACTGATTATATAAAGATAACAATGTAAACCACTGCAATACTTAAAAGAACTAGTATCCAGACATTCTCAAGTAATCATTTCCACCCTATTTTAAAAGTGTTCATATTACAGGGTGAGTTACCTGTGACCACAAAATTTTAGCAAATCAGTGTTCTGAAATAATCTAAGCTGTAGTATTCTAAAACAAAAACAACAAAAACCCTACCATAAAACTCAAAATGATTATTGGGATTGTTAAAGAGGGTATGAGTGAGAGAGAGCGAGAGAGACAAGCTACCTATGTAAAGATTCACCTTTTCAGTAAGGAAATTCTCAACAACTAAGAATATATAATTACGTTAATTAAGGTGATGAGCACACACATTTTAGATTATAATTTATTTTCAACAGAGGAATATATATACATACATATACATACATACATACATACACAAATATATATAAAAAAATTACTACCTAGTAACGTCTTAAATGTTTTAATGTCTCATAAAAGTATGAAGTGTATTAATGAGCTAAATTTTAATATGAAGATGATTCTCACCATGGTCCAAAGTCAACAGCTTGTTTTTGAATCAACGAATTACTACCTTTCACAATAGCTTAACAAATATGACCCTAATTATTTTTGCTAAAATCCAATCTTAACATACAAACCTTAGTACAGGTCTATGACAAGGAAACCAAACAAAAAATGTGTTATACTTTTACGGTACCATGTTTTCTTTCCGAAGGAATGATACTTAGAACATGGGCTCTGTATTTTGTAGATATTATATCATTCTTTCTGTTTGAATAGACTGGTATTATTGCTTTTAGTGAAGAGTTAGAATCATTCTGGGTTACATATGAGATTTTGTAAATTTACTCATTTTTATATTATATAAACTGGTGAAGATTGAGCCCACAATGAAGAGACTGGATATAACTCACAGCTCACAAGTTCCGTTAAGCTTCCAGTCAGTATAAATAATCCTAGATAGCTCTTGGGGAATAAAGATTTGTAGATTCCATTAACATTTTCAGAGCTCCAAAAATACTTTCCCCTCTAACCAGGGCACATGTTGTGTACAGAGAATAAAGAGTGTCTGTCACAGAGTAATGATACATGTAAAATAAATTAATTAGCTCTAACACCAGAGATCACACGGCAAACATCATCATGAAAACCAACCCCCTTTTTAATGCCTACTTCATATCATAGATTAGCATCTTTGCACTCCTTTAATAGCCTTCTAGATTACAGGAAACATGGTTTATACCAACCAGGAATAACATTACATTTTTATAATCGACCCTTATTACCGACATTAGCAAATCAAGTTATAAAATGGAAACTTTAGGATCTCACACATAACAAAGCAGATGAATGTGTAAATTAGATAAAAAGAACATATACTAGAATAAAGCACAGATTGAAAGAAAGTTGTTAGAAAGTTGAGAGAGAATACCTTCATTTACTAAGAAACAGGTATGTAAAGCAGGAGTAGAAGCAGGGTCAGAGCCAGAGTGATCAGCATCAGACCGAGCAGAAACGACAGGTGCAGCAACTTGCAGCAGAAAATAGAAGAAATAAAAGGGGAGAGAATTGAGATACAGCGGTTTCTGAAAAAAAGCTCAGTGTTAGTGAATACTAAAGAACAAGGTTGGCAAAATATAGCAAATGTAGAACTGAAAAATGATGCTTTAATCAGAGAGGTATGATCATTAAGGATTATGGCAGTAAAATGATATATTTTATTGAATAGCAATCACAGTGTAGTTCAAACCAAAATCTATTTATAGTTGAATGATGTGTCATCTAATATAAAAAGAAGTTCTAAAATAACTAAGGCTACAATGAAAAAAATGACAATAAACATATTAAGAATTCACAAAAATGTAATTCAATGTTTAAAATGTATCACATGATGAAAAGTTTATTTTGGTCTTCGGATTGTCATTTTTTTCTAATAATTTATTTCCTAACATTATGCCTAAATTATTTTGTAATCTCTCCAACCAATATTCACTGAGATCATTTCAACTTATTACTCATTTTATAAAAACTCAATTTAAATTATACCAACTTTTAAAATATAACAATTTAAAGTTAAATTAAATATACTTAACTCTTGTTAGAAGACTAACATAGCTCCATTCTTCAGTTTAAAAAATATTTTTATGATACAAATGCTTTATATTCTAAAATAATTACTGTGCATGCTATAATCCTTATAGAATAGGTAGAACAACACCCACCCTCCCCCCAAAAAAGTTATGTTACCAGGAAAATGTTCAGCTTAAATTATCACATGAAAAGGCAAAAGGACCGTATGGTGCACACATTCTACAACTGAAGGTCAACGTTAAGATTTAGAGGTCACCATTTGACACTTCCTTCCTATGGAGAAATTACCATATGTCATGCACAAGCATCTTCAAATTAATCCCTCTCCTTTCTTCTGTCATTGAACAGCAATAGGTTTGGGCTCCTGAACAGATTAAGCATTGTCTGCTGAATGATATGTTTGCTTTTCATGCAGTGAAGTTCTTTTGTAACTATAGGACAGTTGCATGAAAACAACTTTTCATAATTTCCTCACGAATGCATCATAATGTCAATCAGACACGTGTGAGGTAAACCGGAGAACTAAAAGAAGTATATGAGCAGTAATAAAAAACAGAAAATCCAACTCCATAAACCCTAAGAAGCACCTCTTGCACACATGAAAATTTTATCAGGGAAATTATCATTCTTTTTATTATAACAGACCTGTTTTTTGTTCCTTATGAAATTACAAGTACTTTATAATGTTATACTTATGAAAGGATTAGAATTACTCTCAATTGTATATTTCATAAGATCTAAGAATTCCATTGTAATCTTGCAAAGAAATCCGCAATATTTCTACATATTCCATTGAATAATTTCTCATTTTTAAATCATTTTTAAATACAAATTCAGTAATTATGGCCTATAAAATATTCAATTCCCCATGCAAAAAGTTGGTAAGCCTTTGGTGGCAAGGAGTAAATTTACAGGTTTTAGCTTTCATGCCACCAAAATTGTTGAGCAAGTTCCTCTGGTGGTTTCCAACAGTTGGGGTTTTCTATAATTTCACTTTAAATAAAGGAGAAATTATTATTCCTGAAAAGTCTGGGTTAACTTCACCTGACTTTATCATTAATTCTGAAAGGACACTAGAATGGTAAGGTGAAAAAATTCAATACAAACAAACCAAAGTTTAGGAATGAGTGATCATTTCCCTAGCTAGGTCAAATAAGGAGTGGGATTAAACTATAATGTTTCCCTAAATCACAAGTCGAAAGGACACTAGAAATGCTACTGGCAAAACTGCTAGAATATGTCTTAATAGAATAATGTTCAATATGTATAGCTTTATTTGTAATGAGAGAAATAAACAGATGCTCTGAGTATTATATTTCTGGAGTCCTGTTTAAATGGTATTGCAATGTAGAAAAAGCCTTTTACACTTTCCTTTAACAAATTCTGTGGGCACTTAAAATAAAAAAAAAATTGTAATAGAAATCAAGGAATCAGATTTACTATGCTTTAAAAATCTCTGCATCATCATCAAGAAATACTTTATTCAGACTACCTCATAACTGAAACTGCAGAATCTAGAACTGTTTTCATAATTCATTGAGAATACTGAAATTAAACTCTACTACGGCTTTAAAAACTGTCCACGTATAGAAAAGTCAGCAATAGAAATTAGAAGAAAAAAGTACACTACCATAATAAAAAGCTCAAGATTTAATGACACAAAATAAATCTGAATAATTTATGTATGGCACTGAACATCGAAGATTTATACCATAAAACATAAGCAAGCATTTAATTTCTTGAAATAGAAAAGCTGCCATGTCAACTTTTTGCTCCTCTTACCAATGTGCTCCTCTTATTAAGGATCAGTAAAACACAAGGGAAAATAGTCTCAGCACAGCTTCAAAATGGTGACAGAACTGACACAAGTTCTCTTATTTTACCTGAGAAAGTTCTTTAGGTAATGTTGCAGCTAAGAGCCTCTTCACAACAGCTTACTCTCACATGAAAAGACAGATGAAGATAAACATGTGTGACAACATATATGTGCACACATATGCTCTGGTTTCCCTTTAAATGGCATATATAGAAGTACTCAAAATGACAATAGCCATGGTTTCTGTCTTTGAACAGGTCTACCTCAGTCTTCCTTTGAAATCTAAATCTAAGCTCCATTTTTGCCAATCGCCATTGTGATATGAAAAATCTATATAGGGAAGAAAGCAAACATACTTTTG